TAAAAAATGAGCACAGTGCGGGGATTGAAAGTGAAAAAAAAAAGAAAGAAAAACTAAAAAAAAGAAATAGGAAATACGGCTTTGATGCCACATAGGCGACTAAAGCAGAGTGCTGTAAAAAACTTAGCATAGTGTACCTGTCCCATATTTTTTTTCTTGTAAGCTTTACACTTTAAAGTGCTTTGTTTCATAAATATTTCTGATGCCTCTACTTGTGCATACTTGACAAACTAAGACATAAAATTTGAGCGCATCAAAATAGATAAATATTTGAATATTATTGACAGATTTTGACAGCAAGTGTATTGGGAATAATTTAAAAATTTTCTTAGAAAATTGTTGTTTCTTTTTTAGCTGTTTTAAGATTTTTTTCGTTATTACAAATTTAGGTTTTCTCTGCGGATGCAGTTTAGTTATAGATTAAAGATTTCTTTATTTAAGAATACTTCGTATAATTCCTTGACTTCCAGCCTTAAGCTCTCTCAGTTTCCTTTGTAATTTGTTTTTTATTTTTAAGAACTTTTTGAGCCTATAAATTTTAACTTTTGCAGACATCCTTTTATATCGTTTCCTTTCTGGTAAGCATGTTTTCTTTAGTATCAAAAATTATGCTTATAAAAACTTGTATCTTATTATGCAATAAAACCTAGAAAAAAGAAACCTAAAACCTAGAAGCAGGCATTCAATTTGATTACCAAAATATATAAATTACATGAAGAATCTAAATTGTTTTTTATAATTTTGATTTTAATATTGAAAGGCAATATCTTAAGGTGCTGCGAGTATTTCTTAACAATATGTTTGTAATATTTATCTCAAGTACCTGAACAAATTCAGTATAATTTACCATTCGTTTCCTAAAGCAATATTTCTGCTTAGTCTCAAAATTCTTTTTAAAAAAGTTGATTACAATATTAAATGATAATACGATCCATTTTAGCATTCTTTTCCCAGGTTAAAAAATATTTTTAAAGATCTGGGGAGAATGAAATCAACCGAAATTTGAGACTCAACAAATTTATTCAAATTTAACACAATCAAGATATTAGCATTTTGTCAAAATGTATTTCTTAACGCTTTTTCCATTTGGCTATTTACAACACACCATTTCCGATAAAGTGCTTCAAAATAAACTTGCGTTTATTTCATGTAATTTGTTAAATCTTTTGCTTACATATCCAGACATTTTGAAGGTTTGTTTCATCTCGAATTACCTGCATGTTCGTGACTACCTCAAATCGAAACTTTTTGGTGTAGAGCACATGCGAAAAACTGCAAATGAACTTGGACGCCGTCGGCTGCGTTAGTTCACGTGCTTGTTCCGCCTGCCCACCACCCCCTCGCCACAACTCCCCACAACTTTCAGTTGCTGCTGCCGCTCCTGCTGCTGTTCGGGCTTAGTCTTAGCCACCGCATATTGTCGCTTAGCTCTCACCGCACTTGTAGCCGGGCGTTGGCAAGTGGGTGTATTGCAGCTGCAAACGGCTGCTTTGCATGCCAACCCCTTAAAAGAAAAAAAAAAGTAGAAAAAAATATTCTACTATATAACGCCCCGCACGTTAAGCCAATATTTTGTGGCCAGCCCCGAAGCCAACACTGCTTAAAGTTATTCAAAGCTCTGCGTGGTTTTTATTTCATTTTGTTTTGCTTGTGTTTTTTTATTTTGCCAAGTCGACAGTCAGCAAAAAACAATTAACCCGCTCAAGCTGAACTCAGCAGCACCTAACCCAACCCCTTCCCTCTCTAATTCTAGCCCCTGCTGCCCCATCTCAAGCAGCAAGGCAACCCTCCCCCCACCCAAAGAGTGCTGACCGCTCAGTTCACTTGCTGTTCCCGCATTGACTGGCCACAGATTTTCTAGTTTTTATTGTGCTCAGCCCCCTCGAAACCTGAGCCGGGGGCTGTGCTGGTATAGAGGGGCGCGGGGTTGGCTGTGGCGGTGACGGTGGCAACCCGCTTAGTCCGCGAACGCTTTACAAAGCGCTTTAGCCTTTGTTTTTTTTTTTTTTTTCTTTTTTTTTTTTGTTTTTCTGCGCATCATGCGGGCGCTTTCGCTGCAGTTTAGCCTTGTCCACACCCACTCACCGCGCAGCTCACGCCTCCCGCCGCTTGCTACATGCAACACACGCACATAAATTGTGCACCGCTGACGTGGTGTCAACCATACGGCCGCTGCCAGGGACAGGCGTGTGAGAATTCTGGCTGGATACAAGAAACTAGTGCACAGCCACCACCGGATGCACTGACTCTGCTGCTGGTCTCTGGTTAACTGGCTGCCAGCGGGTTGGAGAAGAGTGCAGTAGACGTACGGAAGGGGTGTTGGGGGAGAAGGTGATATTGCTGTAATGACTTTGTCATAGAGTTGACAGTCTCGAGCGTGTAAAGCGTGTAACGAGTGGGTGCAACAAGACAATATATAACATGTCCAAATTGTCTTTTAAAAAGTACTTTCAGCTCTTCCTGTTTGAAAACTATCTTAAAGGATTTTGTCAAACTTGGCTTTTAGTTTTCTTTTTATTTATTATTTTCTTAAGGATTCTTTAGTAGTGAGCGTGGGATAGAGCGTCAGCCGAAAAGAACTAAGCCAGATCAAATTTATTTATTTTTCCTATATGTTTAAGCCGTAATCAGTTCAGTTCTCATAATTTTTTAGTATTTTTATTATTAATATTATTGTTAATATTATTATTATTAATATTATTACTATTATTATTATTATTATTATTATTATTATTATTATTATTATTATTATTGTTATTATTGTTATTATTATCATTATCATTATCATATATCATAATTATCATTATTATTATCATTCTATTATTTTTCTGAATCATTTTATCTAGTTAAGGTTAATTACCGAATAGCGAAAATTTCGTTTTATTTTTTTCCTTTCTTCATATTAACTTACTTTTATTGATTTTACTCTAAATTGTAACTCAAACTAATTAAACTAAGCAAGGCAAAGAGCATGAGCATTTACCTATATTATAATATTATTTTTAAACATTCCAAAGAGCATGAATATATTATAATTTTCGTCCATGCCTCCTTAACCACTCCTATTTGATTTTGCAATTTATTTAAAGTGTTCGTGTAAGGGATTTAATGATATAATCTTAAGTTAAATACATTAGTTTGATTTTAATTTCCTACAATTTATATTCATTTCCTCTTAATTATATGCACGTATTCATTGATATACACTCCATGTACAAAAATCCCTCTCCATAGCTCTTCGAGGGCACGCCTCTATCTGCGCATAGATAATCAACGTGTACTATGTATTTCCATGCTCGCCCATGTCTTTTGTTTAAAATGCATTGATTAATATCACGCCTCATTTGGTTGTGCTTCATTTGTAAAACGCCTCCTGCTCCACAAATGCTCATTAAAGACACAGATACTGTATCTGTAGCTGTGTATATGTATATATATTAATTTGTATCTGTGTCTGTATCTGTATCTGCTGTCATTCTAATGAGCTTATATGCCATATTGTAAGTAATTTAAATTGAGCCCACTTGCATGGCACTTGTGCACAAAATGAACTCGAAATGCACTTGCCATACCTTCCCCCCTTTGAGGGCCGTCGCGTGGCGAGGGTGTGCCTGGAGGGTGGATAGGGGTAGCATGTGGCATGTGTGCTGGTTGGCTGCTGCCGTCTGCGCTCGTTCAACTAAATGAATAAACTTTTTCCGTGCATACTCTTTTGGCGGTAAATAGTGTTGAAGTTCACACATTTGATTTGTTTTTTTTTTTTACTATTTCTGTTTTACACGCTCTTCTCCGCGCTTCTCAGCTCGCACCCTTTTAAGCGCCTGCCTCATTCCACTTGTCTGTTGACTGTTTTTTAGTATTCACAAATTTTTTGACAACATTTGTGTGTTCCACTCGCAGAAATAGTTTTTCCATTATGCCATATAGGAGGGCGGCTGGCTGGGAGTTAAAGGCGTGGCATATATAAAGTAACCGAAACAACAAAAGTGTAAATTAGCTTTTGGCTGTTGTTGACGTTGTTGGTTTGGCTCTCGTTCTGGCTCCAACTCACTCCTTCTCTCTCTCTCTCTCTCTCTCTATCTCTCGCTGCTTCTGGTTCAGGGCTGCTGTTGCAGGCAAAAGTTTGTCATTTGGTTTTAATAAAAACACTTGCACACTCGCTCTCACATATGCACACATGCACACTTGAATACACTCATACTCAGCGCTCACACTCACACACGCATTCACACTCTTGCAGCACTTCATTTGCGCGCTGCATAAAGAAAAGTTAACTGAAGGGTTTTTCGGTTCATGGGGGTTATGGGATTGTCGTGGAAGGAGGGGGGACGGCCGCTGCGGGTTATCCCTGTTTATTTTTGGGGCTTGCTGCTCTTGACACGCCAACCAAAGAGCTTCTCAAAGTTTATTTAGAAATTAAAATTTTTGGGCCCGTCAGGCTTAAAAGATGCATCACTGCACTCCGCCAGGCAGGCAGCTACATCTCCAGATTGCTTTCAGCATCATCCAATCCACTTTTATGAAGTTATTTCAATAATTTTGAGAGCACTTGAGCCAACCAACTTGAAGTCGACTTTATGTTAATTAACTTTCGTTACTTATTAATATTTTTAAAGTTATTTACGTTATGTTTGGACAATCAAAGTGTGGATATACAGTGAAATCTCTTTTGGGCAGAAAACGATTGAAATACTGTCATTTCTGGATCGATAAAAAAAACCGATATAGTTTATTTTAAAATACTTATATCGAAGAACTGCAAACTAAATATTATAAACAAGGTAATTGATACATTTCAATTTTTTATAAATAACTGCAATTATTTAAAATCGTCCTGGGAGAAAGCTGTAATAAATTGTTCTGCCAGCATATGCAATGCGATGCATATTTTAAATTCTAATCAAATTATTAACACTAATTCTTACATTATATATGTACATTTAAAGCTTACACAGCTTTTATTTAAAACTAATCGATAAACGTTAAAAAAATGTAAAACAAAAGTTTAATTGATATGCGGAAGTTCAATAATTTGTAAGTTGATATCCGAAACACAAGCGTAGCACATCAACTGATTAAAATATAGGCATAGACGGTTGATTGGGGGTTTTACATGCTTATGGCCATTAGTCAGCTCTAATTGAAATTGCATAATCATAATCCCACTCCAAGCCAAGTTCGGACAGTTATGCTGTTAAACTGCCAATTAGTGAGACAGCATTAGATGCTCTGGGTGGTGCGGGGCACAAAGGCTGGCTTCACAGGCATAGACAAATCACGGCTGTAAATAGACAACCAAAAAGACGTCCGACGTTTTGGTCAGTTACAGTTACATCAATTGCCAAGCAAACACCTACCCACACTCAGACCTTGGTCAGACAGCATGCCGCAGAACAATAGACTTGGGACATGTTGGCCAGACACAAACAGGTCCAGTACACAGCATACAAACAAGTCCAGCCCGCCCGAGGTCCACAACTTTCAGTCCACAATTGGAGTTAAACTCAGATCTACGAGCTGCAATTGGAGGCAACTGAAACCAGACGCAAACGAAGATTATTATCGTTTTGCTGCCAGGCAGCATTCACACTTTGATGTACACTTGTATTCACACACTCACAGACACAGACACAGACACAGGCACGGACACACGGACACAAATCCTATTCATTATAATTGGTGGGCGTGGCTGTGGTGTATGGCTTGTTTGTTTGTTTGCCTGTTTATTGCGCTCTTAAAGGCCTATTCATGTCCGACATGAACAATGAGCACACTGCACAGAACCACGGGCCACTTGAGTCGCTGCGACAAGCGCTAATTAAACAAAGTGCATTTTAGTATATTTTTATTTTGTTTTAATTTTTGTATTTCGCATTTGAGCTCAAAAATTGACAATTGTTGTTTGTTACAATGACAATGGTCATGCGACACGGCATGTCAAGTTGGCTGCACTTGTGAATGCACTGCAGCGATTACAGCACACGATAACCACGGACAGAGCTGTGATTGTGTTATCGATAACTTCTAATTGTCTAAATTTGATACACTAACACAATTACAAATGTGCTGTTGGTGTGATGGAGCTGGCTTGTTGAAGGTAAAACCTTTTGGGTATTTAATTTGATCAAGTATACAAATAAAGTATTAAATTATTTATTTATTTTTTTGATTATTGATTAAATACTTGATATACTTGTGCACTTTCTTTTCTAAACTTTCTATGCATTCAAGATTTGCCAAAACATGCCACAGCTTTCAGCACATATCCCAGCAGACCCCGGCTTGAACTTATCCATTAAACCTGTCCCATAAATTGTGCGGCTGATTGAAAGTTGCTTCTGTTGCAGGTATAAAAAAAATAAAGAAAATGAAAAAAGCGAATAGGGAATTTTATTTGCATAGCGATGTCTGTCAATGGTGTGCTATCATCTTAAACGAATACAGATAGCCACACACATAGATACACACATAGATGCAGAGATACACACACACATGTTAGCTCACAGACAGACAGACATTTCTATTTGCCCGCTAGAGTATTGAGCTAATGTCTTTCAACTTTTCATTTGACCCAATATGCCGCACACATTTGATGCATGCCCTGCAATTCAGATTCGAGCATAGACGAATGCTTCAACTGCTTGGACATGCAATATTTGCCGTAGGGCGGCATTCACACACACACACACGTTCACACGTTAAGTGCGGCAAAGGCAGAGCACATAAAATAAAAACGTTGTCCTATATATATGTATATATATTATATCTGTGGGTGTGTGTATCAGTCCTGGTCACACGATGCAGTCAAACCAACAATATGGAGTACATACTTGTGTAAAACAAGTTATTCCATTTTGAGGTTTTTGAATAATTAATGCAACTAAAAATGTTCAGTTCGTCCATTTGTTGTTGCCGTTAAATTGCATGCATATTGCACATGTATTTGTGCCAGCCAGAGATGAGTATTAGTGCTTTCTCTACACACACACACACACAGAGAGAGACACACGCTTACACAATCACAGCGATTGTGATCTGAATTTGATTTTAATAAATAATTATGTGATAAGTGCTGGAATTGTGTGTGTGGCATGATTTAAATAGGTGTATTCTTGTAAATGTGCCAATTGTTATGCGGCTGCTCTCTGGTGTACAGAAATAAAGTTTTGGTTAAAACTAACTCAGATTAGCACAAGTGTTATTATTGGATATACGCAGATTCTTTTGGGAACTATATTTTTAGTCTCTTATTAAAGGACTAGCTAGCTTGTAACTTGGTACAGAAGTTTAGATAGTTATTGCATGGGTACGTTAAATTTTAGCTGCAAGTTTCGAAATTACAAAATAATAATATTTTGTTTATAGTAATGTCTACATATATACAAATATTGCTATATTTATCTACATTTAACTTAAATTTTGGTAAGCTTTTTATTCGTTTCTTTTCACCCGCAACAGTGGTAAATAGGCGGAAAACAATTCTATAAAAATTTTTTGTTTACCGTCGGATCGGTTTCAATATCATTTTCAAAAATCTTTGAGAGAATTTTTTCTACGAGCAAGGCCGGGCTATTCCCGCTAGTATTATATTTGTTTAATTTTATAATTTCAGTTCAAAAGAAAATAATTTATTTTATTATAATTTTAAAATTTTTAATGATCATTTTTGAACACGAAAATGTTTTTTTTCAAAATGGGAATTAAAAGCGGTTACATATATATAATATATAATGTATAAATACTTATAATCTAAAATATTTATTAATAATTTATGTGTATAATACATATTCTATAGATTCAAATGACAATATGTTTTTACTTAAAATATGTTTTTTATTAAAATATAATTTCAATTTATTTATCATTTATTATTTTATATTTTTCAAATGAGTATTTCTTAAACATGATACTTTTTTTCAAATACAATACAATGAATCAACGCTAGAGAGTGTAGCTTAAAAGTGAATATTCGCTATTTAGCTGTGATAAAATCACAGTTTTCATAAATTGCCCAGCACTATGGCGTAGGTGTCTTACTATATAATACACACACATATTGATGTATATATTTGTTTGGGAGTGTGTGTGTGTGTGTGTGTTCATGATGAGTGTGTTCGTGGTACTTGTGTGCATATATAATGCATACATTATTATATATTGTATTGCATTTTACGCAAGTGTCCTTTGTGTGAACTACTCTGTTTTTTTTTTTTGCTGAAATGCATTGCAGTGTTAAGGCAAGAATTCTCTGCCTTTGATCAGCAGCCATAAGCAATGGTCGTCGTCGTCATTGTAATAATTTCCACCTCCTTGACAACTTCAGGGTCCGGGCAATTCAATTTAATGCCATCGACTGTCAGCCAGGCAGCTACTTAAGTTTTATGAAGCGTCGATATGGCCTGGCCGAGTGACTATCCATAAATGGCGTCGACACACAGAGAGAGAGAGAGGAAATTGCCGCCAATGCAACTTAATCTCTGTGTCCTGCCATGACAAATCGTCCTTATCGTTTTACGAACTACAACAAAAAAAAAAATAATAATAATAAGAAACAAGCGGGCATGTTAGAGTCTCGGGCATGCTTTGACTGAGTAATATCCTGTAGAGTGGTATATATAGATATATATTTTCGTGCTTAGATTAATTTAAATGCCTATACAAGCATTGCATACTGAAGGCCGCAATATATCATATATAGTCATAAAAAATGTCGAAAATTCAAAATCTTGAAACAAAATAGTTTCCAAAAATTTGTTTACTTTTCATATAGCCAAATGTAAGATTTTTGTAATTATTGCAAAATGTTTCAATGTTGCTAAATGGGAAACACACTTTTTTTGAGAACACGAACATTTACTGAACTTGGAGAAATTGTTTGTTCACCTTACGAACTCTTTTTCGGTTTGGCTTCAAATATAAATAATTATTGTTGTAATATTACTTCTGTTGGTGGAAAAGAGCACTTTGAGCATAAATTTATAAAAATTTCTAAATTATTTTTTGACTAACTAAAAGTTGCTATTGCCAATGTTGGCAATCATAAAAATATCCTTTGCTGCAAATGTTTGTTTTGTCAAATGTGCTTAATACATAATATGGTAACTGCTGAATTCGAACCAGTGACCTTCTTTTTGCTGCCCCTCAGCGTTCTCTGTGCCATCATCAGCTGGCTGCTTACATTATCAAACTTTTTGTGTGCTTTCTAAGCTGCATAGGAGAACAATATACTTTTTGTTTATAAGTAAAGTATTGTACCTTAATTGAACGAATTTAAGCCAAAATCATATACCCTATATATTTAAGAAAATGATGTAAGACTTGCTTTTAAAGTAACCGAGATCCAATATACAGTTGGGCATAGACATAACTCGGACTTTAAAGCTGAAAAATGCTTGTGTGTTTCATTGTTATGTTACTCTCTTTAAATAATACTACTTATTATAGGGTATTAAAAGTGGATAGACCGTAGGCAAAGCAACTGAAGTAAAGAAAAAGCAAACAAACAAGTTATAAAAACATACAAAAACAGGAGAGCAATTCACACGCACAACAAAAAACAACAAGCGAAATAACAACAACAACAACAACAACAACAACAAAAGCTGATAAAAGATGTTTGTTTGTTGTCTTTTGTTGTTGTCTTTTTATGACTTCAATTAACTGTGGCACACAGGTTCAGCTTCAACTGCGGGTCCAGTATAATGTTGGGTGGGTGGATGTCTGCGTGTGTGTGATTGTATCTGTGTGTAGTGTGTGTGCGTGTATATTGAAGATTTGCGTTCATAATTTTTTATCTCTGCTGGCTGCGTGCTCTCAAGTTGTTGTTCTCTCATTGTTGTTGCTATTGTTGCTGTTGTTGCTGTTGTTGTTGTTGTCTTTGGCATGCATCATTAGTTAGCTTAATGTAGTGTACCCAGGCTACACGACCACGCCCATTCTGGCCTAGCAGGTAGGCAGACAGCTGGCCAGCAGCTAACACAAAGCTTTAGCGGACAGTCCAAGTATGTGTGTAACTATAGATACTAGAGATGAGCGCGTGCCGATTTTATTCACAGGCTGGGACATCTTAAAGGCGCAAAAAATAAAGGATCGACCGAGTAAGAGCTACGTTAAACTAAATGTAAATTATAAGAGATTATCTGCTCGTCGCAAAAGTGAAATTCTCGAAAATATCTTAAAACCCTGTTCGCAAAAATCCAGAAAATTCGTTGTATAAGTTAAATACAAAAAATTTAAAAAAGTGTTTTATTTATAAATATATTAATATATTAATTTCTAAATAAATTAAATAAAACAACTTCATTACGTGAAATGGCGTCGCTTGCGAATGAGAAAGATTATCGTTAAGTTTTGAGCAATTAAAGTGAATATCGGATGTTAATATGCACAAATTGTAGCATGCTTTTTAGGGTTTCATGACAGGTCGAGCCAGGCTTGGCTTTTTACAAAATCTCTCTTGCGAGATGAGGCTATTTACTCAAGTGTATGTTTTGTGCTCGTGCCTGGCACATGGCCATCTCTATTAGATAGCAATCACATATAGCCAAAGATACGCAGACATTTTGGCCAAGAAAAACGGGCAATCAATTGCCAAAATTGAACAGTCTTAACGTTTCGTTGCGAATGTTTCGAGATAATCGCTGCAAAAACGGCGCCACTTAGAGCCAATGTACGGCGAACAGCGGCATATTCCCTTGGCCCACACTCAATCCAATATCGAAGCTTCCACACACACACACACCCCCCCTCCCCTCCTTGATCCGGCCTAAACATAGACGCTGGCTTTGGTAACGACTATCTAACTAGGGTCCATTTCTAGGCCGCGGCATCGTTGTAGGCGGCCTTTTGTGTATTTGACGTTTATGTTAACATGTGTGTTGTCTGCCGATGCGTGTATCTCAGTCTCAGTTGCTGTCAGTGTGTGTGCGTGTGTGTGTGTTTGTGTGTGTCTGAGCATCTGCGGCGTGCCAGAATCCAGCTGGAGGAGCCCAGTTGCCACAGCTTTTTCCTACCTTCCGCTTTATGCGCCACACACTGCCTGCCTGTCTGCCTGTCCCTCTTTCTGTCTGCGTATCGCGCGCGTGGCTGCCACCGCGTTGTCTCCGCATATGCCACAGTGCCGCAAATGAAGCTATTAAGTGTGTAAATATTGAGTTGACATCAAAAATTCACACATTGATGAACTCGTCGATAATATAAATCAAGTTAGAGGCGGAAAATTAAAACGACAACGCAATTGAGTTTGATTTTATGTAAAAACACATCACAATAAAACAAAGTGGAAAAACACAGTGAGTTCCTATGTCAAATGTACTGTCAAATCCCATAAATTGACGTAAGAGCACACTGTACTACAGCCACTTCTGTTATTTTACTCCAACAGTGTTGAACGGTGCCTCACTGTCTGCGCGTTTCACAACACTAGCGTGTCTCTTCGAAATATCCCGCGGAGTACGACTTAATTCGCTTAGATAATCTACTTATAATGTATATGGCCTCTGCTTAAGCATATCTCAACATATGGAAGACGCATTATTGCCCCAAAAAGTATTTGGGTAAAGAGATTAACTCAAAATAGAAGACAAACTGGGTATATGCTGGCTTATACATGGTTAATTTTTGTATAGCATATTTATATTATATTATAGTATATTTTTCGATGCTCTTTTTTTCATTTTACTATTATTTCCTATTTGAAATGTTTCTTATGTTATATTTTACTTTGAACTAAACAAGTTTATTTATTTATTTATTAAATCAAACTCATGCAGCCTTCAGTAAATGAGAGCGTGGAAGGACAAGCATGAGGAATAAGCTTAAAGTTTCATATCTCAGGTCCCTTCTAATTGTGGCTAAATATAATTAAAGGACATTACATTATATCGCAAAATTATAATAAGCATTTGAATTCTTACATCAAATTTGAAGCACACAAATTGCTGTTCAAATTTTTTCCCACTGTGCGTTTGGTTCTTTGTTTAAGTTTTCTCTAGCGTTGACGCTTTTGTTGCTCTTGTTGTTGTTTTGCCTCGTTGTCAGTGTTGTTATTGTACGCCTGTTTGTGTTGTTGGGCATGCCAGCGAAAAAGGTGCTGATGGCGATGGGGGGAGCAGGGCGTGCCAAGATAGAGCGAAGCGCTGCGGTACGGGGATAGCGTGAGCCATAAAAAAGCGCTCGAGGTTGTTAAATTGACAACGTTAAACACTTTGTTTGGCATTTTCTGCATTATTAGGCGAAACTGCCGTCTGTCGCTGTAATTGATGCTCCGACAAACAGGGCACACGACCCTCCCCGGCTAACAACATTCCCCTCAAATCCAGGGAGTTGACTGTCTTATCGCGACCCAAAAGTCACAAACAAGCCCGAGCACTGATTTAAATGGCTCAAAAGTTAAGTTATCGTAATGCTAAGCGGATTAGCTATGCGAGAGAAATGGCAAGTCTCATATGATTGGCAATCTTATGACCTGGCTTTAAGATGTTAGCGGCAAGCGGCGTTGCTTGGTTGGGTGGGGGGGCGGTCTGTATTATTTGGGGGCGTGTTAAGTAAACATTTCAGTTGATTTCACTGTCAATTTGAAATGACATTATATTATGGAAAGTTTTAATCCTTTTAAGTGGCTGCCGAACGGCCCGGGCCGGAAGTGTAGACTGTGAACTTAACTCAACTCAACTCAACTGAAGTGAACTGAATTGAAGTGAAGTAAACTGCTGTCCGCTGTTTGTTTTATGCATAAATTCGATTAAATGCCAAAAGGTTAAATCTCAGACATCCATGGCAGTGCAGGGCACGCACCGTGCCCGCCCCACCCAGCCCCTTACCGCCTTATCCTTAAATTAGGCACGAGCGCACGTAAAGCTGTTGAATGTCATGTCAAAGGGCACACTCAAGACGAGCGACGATGCTCGTAAATTTCAGTCTATATATATTTCATTCTTATATTTTGCTGCCGCCTCGCCCTCCTCGCTAACTTCTTGTGCACTTTTTTTATGACAAAGGCAAAGGATTATTCAGCTGCCTGGGCAAATCGCATAAAATGCAAAACGTATTAAAATTGACAATAAAGCGGCTTTTTTTTTATGTTTATATGCATGAGGAGACCGGCGGGCCTGCCGGAAACAACCTTTTCCCTGTCCATCCTTTAAAAAAAAAAAATGAAAGAAGAGATTGTGAAATTCGTTTTAAAATTGTTAAAAGCTCTGCCCACTTTAAAGATCGTTATGCATTTTTTAGTGGCCTCAAGAAGGTTCTGTTTATTTGCCACTTAATTTACCACAGTCTGTTGCAGCTGCTGCTGCTGCTGCTGCTGCTGCTTCTTCCATTGCCGTAGCCACTGAAGTACAAAATATCCGCTCAACTGCAACTTATAACAATCCCCCTACTCCACCCACACACCCACACACGCACACATATGCATAAACACGTGTTTGGCTGTTATTATTGTTGCTCCTTTTCGTCCTGCACCGCACTCAATCTTGTGATTTAACGCATGCCGCTTGCCCCTATCGCCCAACTATTTTTTGTTATTTTTCTTGTAGAGTTTTTCTTTTTTATTTCCTTTAATGCTCTCACTTGTTAAAGTAGGTAATGTATTTTCTTATCCAGCTTGTTATTTACGAGCAGACAATTGTCGTTAATCTTTCGCTTAACTTTCTTCAGCACAATTAACAAACCCTCATTCGACGCATGCTAGTTAACAAACTCTCCCGAACGGGTTGTGCTTAAGAGTGTAATCAAATTCTTTGACATCTTTGAAATTATTCTAAAGATATGCTTTAATTCTCAAGGCATGTTTAAGCAAATCCATTTGATTTCTACAAATGCTTACAGCAATTGAGGAAATTAAGAAGACTCTTATATGGTGCTCCTCAACCTAATTAGACTTGTTTGAACTCTTAGAAAGTTTAAATTAATTAATTTCGGGTCTACTATATTATAAGACTTTTACCAAATATTATAAGTTTCCTCAAATTCCAATCAAATAATTTGGAAAATCTAAAGCAAAACTTTAGAATAAATCTATGCTTGCTCTGAGTAGGATATTCAAATAGAAGCATAAAAAGTCTTTTATTTCTTAAGCTTCTAAATATTTATAGAGCATTAGAGTTTCGTTCTTTTATCGATGTTTACATATTTTGTTTTTTGCGTTTTTACTTGCTCAGTTGTATTTTTGTGTGAGTTATTACGGCAACTTTCAAAGCATAAAAATTTCTTACTACTTGGCTCCAACGGAGCATAAAAACTTATGACTTGTCTATTCGACATACACACACAGTCCCACTCACATAGCTACACGTACACACACACACACACACTAACAGACAGACACAGACACTCACACACAGACGCAATGAGCTAGGGCTCGTGCTGCATGCGCGCTGTTGGCGGCGTTGCACTTTGTTTGTTTGTGCCGGTAATATTTCCTTAAATCGAGTAAACAAGTGGAATTCAACAAAGCGGAAACGGAAGCACAATGCGTAGCTGCTGCCTGTGTTGTGAGCTACCTACACACCCCTACGCTCAGTCACACACACATGCTTGCTGCTACACGTATCTCATACGCGATGTTGTCTCAAATATGGCGGCAAATATACTTTGCTGCTCAGCTGTAGCAGCAGACGCTCAGACGCTACTCTTCTCTCAGCGTGCCCCACACGCTGCATCCACTTCTCTGTTAACGCTTGCTTCGCTTGGCTTTCTGTTGTTTTTCTTGGAAATTGCTGTTAAAAATAACAAAGCTCCTTGTGAGTTTCTCGCTTCACGTTGCTTGCCAAGTTACTTCCTGCCTCATCCCGGCCTCTACTGGCTTTACTTTTCGTTGCTCTGGCTCTGCCGTTGAGCTTTCCTTGTTGTTGTTTGTCTTAGTTATGCCATCCACAACCACCCACCCACTCATCCTACGCCCAATTGAAATTGAGACGCGGCTCTCGGCAATTGTATTTATTTGCTCTGCTAAATGGCATAATCGAAGACGACCCGACCAGCCCCACTTGTGATGGTTGACAGGCATTGTGGTGCTGCACAGATTTTCAAAATACCAACATCAAAAGGAACAAACAAAACTGTGCACATTTAAGGAATATAAGGAATCCTTTATTTACCTTATTAGTGGCGAAATTCTCAAAAGGGTCCTCATAAGAGACAATAATGTCAAGCCATGATTTATAAATACTTTTTGCCGATCTTAAATTTGTGCAAGAAATATACAAATATTGATTTTAAACAAATTTGATAGTTATCGATTTTCTTTTGTAATCCTTGGTCTATTTTATTTATTGCAGACAATAAATAATATTATAAAGTCAATCAAATGATTAGTTGATTAATAACAAAATTATAACTAAATTATTTATACATTATGTGTAACAACAAGTAGCTTATATATTTTTAGAAAAAATCTACATATACAATTATTATAATTCAAATTCGTTTCACTCTGAACTCTATAAATCTTCTGGCAAAAGTATCATATAAATATTTTCGATGAAATGAAAGAAGCCTCTTGATAGGTTTAAATAAAGTTTATCAGAATAGTTTATAGCTGGCATGATGTTTATGTTGTTAGTTAATATAAACAAGCAACTTGTTATATATAAAGTTGATATTGTTTTTCCCGGTAAAGTCTGGCACAACTTACAAAACAAAAAGCTGAAATAGCTGTCTAGTGTTAAGAGTCAATCAAAGATTTGCTTAGATTCTTTAGATATTTCATTAGTTGACAGATTTTGTGGTGACGACGCCAACTTCAAAGCAATGTCTGAGCACAAACTATGAACTAGAGGAGGAGAGAGAGAGAGGGTGGGGAAGGGAGAGAGTGGCATTTATTAAATTCCGCTCGTTTGCACTTGGCTCATAAGCAGCACAGCGTCTTTTGAAAATTCTCAGTAAAATAACGCAACTGTATAAAGTTTTTCTGGCATATTCAGGATGTTTGTTTCGTCTTGGTTTTATGCAAAAGTCTCGGCATAGCTCAGCCAGCTGAGAAAGAGAGAGAGAGAGAATAGAGCTGAACTAAACAAAAAGCTGAAGCTGCTGCTATTTCACATACATTTTGCGTAACTTTAATGTTCTCAAAGACAAAACTTACGCTCAAATTGTTTGTCATCAAATTATGTGGCCAGTTGCTGTTGACCCTGGCCGCAAAAATGGGCATCATTAAAATGCTGTTACCGGACACACAGAACCAGAGCTCCCGATTCCCAGTTGAACGAGTGACCGGGCTGCCGCCCCAAACCGTTCCCCACCCTGTGTCAACGCTGGAGACCTTAACCGCAACAGGATTGCTCAGGCATACCCTTTTTTAA